CAAATACCTCCGGCATAAACACAGTAGCCTCAGGCAGCAATACCCCTGTGAAGAGCCCGGTGAAGACTGTCATGCAGTCCCCAGTAACCTCCGGTAGCGAGACCCCTGTGAGGAGCCCGGTGAAGACTGTCATGCTTGCAGTAGCCTCCGGTGGGAAGAGACCGGTCAAGAACCCTGTGAAGAGCCCAGTGAAGACTGTCATGCTTGCAGTAGCCTCCGGTGGGAAGAGACCGGTCAAGAACCCTGTGAAGAGCCCAGTGAAGACTGTCATGCTTGCAGTAGCCTCCGGTGGAAAGAGACCGGTCAAGAACCCTGTGAAGAGCCCAGTGAAGACTGTCATATTACCAGTTTCCTCCGGTAGCGAGACCCCTGAGAAGAGCCCGGTGAAGACTGTCATGTTTGCAGTAGCCTCCGGTAGCGAGACCCCTGTGAAGACCCCGGTGAAGACTGTCATGTTTGCAGTAGCCTCCGGTAGCGAGACCCCTGTGAAGACCCCGGTGGAAACTGTCATGTTTGCAGTAGCCTCCGGTAGCGAGACCCCTGTGAAGACCCCGGTGGAAACTGTCATGTTTGCAGTAGCCTCCGGTAGCGAGACCCCTGTGAAGACCCCGGTGGAAACTGTCATGTTTGCAGTAGCCTCCGGTAGCGAGACCCCTGTGAAGACCCCGGTGGAAACTGTCATGTTTGCAGTAGCCTCCGGTAGCGAGACCCCTGTGAAGACCCCGGTGGAAACTGTCATGTTTGCAGTAGCCTCCGGTAGCGAGACCCCTGTATGCCGGAAGACCCGTGCCTCTAAGCTGGCTAATGACTTGCCCTCTCCCTCAAATTACTGGTCCACTGGGTGTGGACGGGGGAATACCATGCGTGAAATCACGTTGCCTAGAAGCATGGAGGCGTACCTTCAGACATACTTGGATCACTGTTTGGGTGTCGCTCCGACAGTAAAACAGAAAGACAATGTTGTGTCGAAGATCAGCCGGATAAAGAACTTCATAGTATACATGGCCCATGGTGTTAACCGCCTGTCAGACTGGCTGTTCCTAAGAAACATGAAGATGATCCGTGGCTGGAGCGAGTATATTGTAAAGCCGGGCCGGGCAGTCACAACATCAGAGTTCTTCCTGAAGAATGTGCACCAGTTCATGGGGTACATGTCTGAGTCAAAGCCCCGGGGGTGCAAGCTCACCCAGTCTGATATGACCCACATAATGAGAGAGGTGAAAGCCAACATGAAACACTTGAATAAGGCAGTCACTCTACATCAGTTTAAGGTGAAGAGGAACAAACTGGATCGTCTGCCGAGCCAGGCGGAGCTTCTCGCCGCCATGGCGGCCGCTGAGAAGCGCATCCCGGAGCTCCTCGACCTGATGGCCGGCACGCCGACCTCAACCACCCAGAAGCTTCTCTATGGCTATCTCACCCTCCATTGGAGCCTCCTGTATGGCCACCGTACGGGCGTGTACGCAAACATGAAAAACAGTGAGGTCTTAGAGGCAGCCATAAGGGGAACTGCTGAGGGCTACATCATCCATGTGCAGGATCACAAGACGGCCAAGACATATGGCGAAGCACAGCTGGCGCTTACAGTAGAGGAGTTTAGCTGGGTCATGCGGTGGATGGGGATTAAAGAGGCATTGCTGGGTCCTCAGAATGAATTCTTCCTTTTCACAAGGGGGAATCGGGCCTCCAAGAACCTGAACGCTCACTTGAAGAGGGCATGGGCTGATGCTGGGCTAGAAACAGCCGTCACCTTCACAATCCTGCGCACTGCCCTGGCTGACAATATCAAGCATCACCAAGATCCAGAAAGCCGGTCGATTCTCGCCAGGTTTATGTGTCACGACGTAACCACGGCGGACCGGTTTCTACGCGAATGCGCCAGGTATAAAGGAGGCATTGAGAATCCGCTCCATGTTCAGGGCGTCATCAGATGCGGCAGCAGCTGCATCATCATCAGAAGGATGTCTACCGCTGTCAGATGGGGAGACCTCCGAAGAGGGCTGCTATAACAGTACAGCTCTATCATCTTCACCTGATGGGTCATTGGAGCGGCAGCAGCAGCAGCAGCGGAAGCGGAAGCGGGAGGGAAAGAGGCCAATGAAGTCGGGACCGGGGCTGGTTGACACTCCTGATGATGGGGCAGGGGCCGTGGACTCAACCTGTTTGCCCTGGTGCACCGTAAGAATTAGACGCCTAATTTGGTCCCCTGAATCCCGCTAAACATTGTGAATATGTATACCGTGTATATAATTATTATTATAATCCTGTGTATACATTTTGTAAATAGTACAATATCTCCAGGGCGCATAACTGCACTTTACAAGCCAGGAAAGGTGCCAGAATCCTGGGCATACATTTTGTTAATAGTTGCAACACCTCCAGGGCGCATAACTGCACTTTAAAACGTAGGTTAAGAAATTTAGTAGTACTGTTATAGTAGCAGTAGTACGTGTAAATAGTTTATGTTTTAGCCTCTCTGTACTGTGTACTGTGTTTTTTGTTCAAATAAAATAAAAAATAAAAAAAAAACAATAACCTTGATGGTTACCAGGGGCAGAAAAAGTGCCACTTTCCATCAGCACCGGGGAGGCACTCTCCTTGGTGCTGAACCCTGTGATGAGCGCTCAAGTGTTGGCGGAGGAGGTGTAAGCCAGAGGAGGGTGAACAAAAGTTTAAAGTGTTTGAACCTCCAGCCCAGAAGGGGGGGTGATGCCGTGAAGAAGGCCGAATATGGATGCTGATGGGCGGACACAGAAGCACCATAAAACCACCCCCTTGTAAGGTCACCAGGGGCACGAGAATACCCTCCAGCCCAGAAGGGGGGTGGTGATGCCGTGAAGAAGGCCGAATATGGATGCTGATGGGCGGACACAGAAGCACCATAAAACCACCCCCTTGTAAGGTCACCAGGGGCACGAGAATACCCTCCCACAGAAGGGGGGGGTGATGCCGTGAAGAAAGCCGAATATGGAATGCTGATGGGCGGACACAGAAGCACCATAAAACCACCCCCTTGTAAGGTCACCAGGGGCACGAGGTTCTGGTGGGTGTGAATACCTGTGTTTAGTCCGTGGGGGAGTGCTTAACTGTGGGGGCCCGGGGACTCAGGGTGTGCAAGGTTATGGAAGGTCCCACTGTTAGGGGCCCATGCTGGAGGTAATTAGTCCGTCCTGGGGGCTCTGTGAGCGGGCAAAAAGAGGTGATTTCCCCCTGGTCTTTGCTGGAGGTGCAGAGTCCCACTGTTAGGGGCCCATGCTGGAGGTAATTAGTCCGTCCTTCGGGGCTCTGTGAGCGGGCAATGAGAGGTGATTTTCCCGGTCTCCGCCCTGGAGGTGTGAAATAAACAGAGTCCCCCTGTTAGGGACTGGTGCTGGAGGTCTCTAGTCCGTCCTTCGGTGCTCTGTGAGCGGGCAAAAAGAGGTGATTTCCCCCTGGTCTCTGCTGGAGGTGCAGAGTCCCACTGTTAGGGGCCCATGCTGGAGGTAATTAGTCCGTCCTTGGGGCTCTGTGAGCGGGCAGAGAGAGGTGATTTCCCCCTGGTCTCTGCTGGAGCTGTGAAAGAAACAGAGTCCCACTGTTATGGGGACATGCTGGAGGTAATTAGTCCGTCCTTGGGGCTCTGTGAGGGGGCAGAGAGAGGTGATTTCCCCCTGGTCTCTGCTGGAGGTGCAGAGTCCCACTGTTAGGGGCCCATGCTGGAGGTAATTAGTCCGTCCTTGGGGCTCTGTGAGCGGGCAGAGAGAGGTGATTTCCCCCTGGTCTCTGCTGGAGGTGCAGAGTCCCACTGTTAGGGGCCCATGCTGGAGGTAATTAGTCCGTCCTTCGGGGCTCTGTGAGCGGGCAATGAGAGGTGATTTTCCCGGTCTCCGCCCTGGAGGTGTGAAATAAACAGAGTCCCACTGTTAGGGGCCCATGCTGGAGGTAATTAGTCCGTCCTTCGGGGCTCTGTGCGCGGGCAGAGAGAGGTGATTTCCCCCTGGTCTCTCCTGGAGGTGTGAAATAAACAGAGTGCTACATTTTGTAAATAGTGCAATATCTCCAGGGCGCATAACTGCACTTTACAAGCCAGAAATAATGTTTAAATGGTCGGGGAAAGTATTTTTAAATGTCTGGAAGAGAGTTTTAGACAGTCATTTTGCACGAAATCATTTAACATAGACGCTCTCCTGAAAATGCACAGAATATGTGCTTTTTCAGGAGACCGTCAATGTTAAATGATTTCGTGCAAAATGACTGGCTAAAACCTCGGAATAAGTGTTTGAAAAGCGGGGAAAAGTTGTTTAAAATAGTCTGATACCTCCAGGGCGCATCACGAAAATGTACAAGCCAGGGAAGATGCCTGAATCCCGGATACTTTAGGTCTGTCACTTAGGGTGACCGCACCACTCCGACGCTCCCGAGAGTGGACGTCCATTGTTTGTAAGGCACCTAAGAGGGATTAGAGGACAGGTCTAATGTTGTGAACAAAATGATCAAGTCAAGTTATTTTATTTTATTTTATCTTATGTACCACATTTAATTTAATAATTCATCTTAAATTACTAATAACTTTAAAGAAGGCAACAATTTACAA